CCTTAGTGGTCCTCTCCCCTCCATGTCTCTTAGTGGTCCTCTCCCTGTACCTTAGTGTACCTCTCCCTTCCCAGTTTCTTAGTGCTCCTCTTCCCTGCCCCTTAGTGTTCCTCTCCCCCCTTACCTGTCTCGTACTTCCCCCATTCTCCTCTTATCCCTTAGTGTCCCTCTCCCGTCCCTCCCCAATCCCTTAGTGTTCCTTTCCTCCCCTTACCCGTCTCTTAGTGCCCCCATCCTCCTTAGTGTTCCTCCCCCTCCTTAGTGTTCTTCTCCCCTTCCTTCTCTCTCTTTTAGTGGTACCCCCTCACCCTTAGTTTTGCTTTTCCCTTCCCCCGTCAATTAGTGTTACATAGTTACATAGTTACATAGCTGAAAAGAGACTTGCGTCCATCAAGTTCAGCCTTCCTCAGAAATGTTGTTGCTGTTGATCCAAAAGAAGGCAAAAAACCTGGTCTGAAGCACTTCCAATTTTGCCACAAACTAGGAAAAAATTCCTTCTTGACCCCAAAATAGCAGTCAGATGTCTCCTTGGATCAATCAGCTATTACCCCACTAATTAGAAATTATATCCCTGTATGTTATGTTTTTGTAAGTATTTATCCAATTTCAGTTTAAACATCTGTATGGACTCTGACAAAACCACCTCTTCAGGCAGAGAATTCCATATCCTTATTGTTCTTACTGTAAAAAAACCTTTTCTTTGCCTTAGATGAAATCTCCTTTCTTCCAGCCTAAATGTGTGACCTCGTGTCCTATGTATAACCCTGTTTATGAATAGATTTCCAGATAAAGGTTTGTACTGGCCCCGAATATATTTGTATAAAGTTATCATATCCCCTCTCAGGCGCCGTTTTTCCAAACTAAACAGATTTAATTTTTGTAACCTTTCTTCATAACTAAAATGCTCCATTCCTTTTATCAATTTTGTAGCTCGTCTCTGGACCCTCTCCAGTGCCATGATATCCTTCTTTAGAACAGGCGCCCAAAATTGCACAGCATATTCAAGGTGTGGTCTTACCAGCGATTTATACAGAGGCAAAATTATATTTTCATCCCGAGAATTTATGCCCCTATTTATACATGACAAAATCTTACTGGCCTTAGCAACTGCAGATTGACATTGCATATTGCTGCCTAATTTGTTGTCTATAACAATGCCCAAATCCTTCTCGTGTGTGGTTATCCCTAATTCACTACCATTTAGTGTGTAAGTTGCTTGTGCATTCTTAACCCCGAAGTGCATAACTTTGCATTTCTCTATGTTAAATTTCATCTGCCATTTTAGTGCCCAGTCCCCCAATCTATCCAAATCTCTCTGCAGCAAAGCAATATCCTGCTCACATTTTATTACTTTACAAAGTTTTGTGTCATCTGCAAACACTGATACATGGCTTTCAATGCCTATTTCAAGATCATTTATAAATATGTTAAATAGAAGTGGTCCCAAAACAGAACCCTGAGGGACACCACTTACCACTTTTGTCCAGCCTGAAAATTTACCATTAATGACAACTCGTTGTACTCTGTCCTTAAGCCAATGTTCTACCCAAGAACAGGAATATTCATCTAGACCAATTTCTTTTAGTTTGAAGACTAACCTATTGTGAGGAACCGTATCAAATGCCTTGGCAAAGTCCAAGTAGATCACATCCACTGCAACACCCTGATCTATACTTCTACTTACTTCTTCGTAGAATGCAATTAGGTTAGTTTGACATGACCTATGTTTCATAAAACCATGCTGATTATTGCTAATAACAAAGTTCTTCCCAATGAATTCCTGAATATTATCCCTTAATAGCCCTTCAAATATTTTCCCAGTTACTGAAGTTAAGCTCACAGGTCTATAATTTCCAGGCAAGGATTTTGAACCCTTTTTAAATATAGGAACAACATCTGCCTTCCTCCAATCCTCCGGTACAACACCTGAAACAAAAGAATCTTGAAAAATTAAATACAGAGGTTCACTTATTTCCCCACTTAGCTCCTTAAGTACTCGTGGGTGAATACAGTCAGGCCCCGGAGCTTTATTTACATTAATTTTCTTTAATAGCTGTAGCACCTTGTCTCGAGTTATCCAGTCACAAGTTATTTGCAAGTTTTTTGCAGCAATCATTTGCATATCTCTTGCCATAGGATCCTCATTAATATATACTGAAGAAAAATAGTTATTTAAAATTTCTGCTTTTTCCTGGTCTTCATTAGCTAATAAACCCAACTCTGTTTCAAGTGTACCTACACTTTCATTTTTTGTTTTTTTAGAATTGATGTACTTGAAAAAATTTTTGGGGTTGGTTTTGCATTCTTTAGCTATCAATTTCTCATTTTCTAGTTTAGCCACTTTAATTGCCTTTTTGCAAGTGTTATTGGCTTCCTTATATCTTAAATAGGATGCCTTTGATTTGTCTGATTTAAATGCTTTAAATGCCCTTTTCTTATTTTTAATCTCTTGTTTTACTTCTCTACTAAGCCACATTGGTTTTAATTTGTTTCTTTTATATTTATTACCCAATGGTACATACTGAGAAATGTACCTTTCTAATATATGTTTGAACAGTTTCCATTTATCCTCAGTGTTTTTATCACTAAGGAGTTTATGCCAGTCGATATGTTGTAGAGCTGCCCTAATCTTATTGAAATTGGCTTTTTTTAAATTATATGTTTTAGTATACCCCATCTGCTTTTGCTTTTTTGAGTTTATTTCAAAATTTACCATATTGTTATCACTATTTCCCAAATGCTCCCCTACTTGAATGTTGGTTAAAAGATCAACATTGTTTGTTATGACAAGATCCAGACAAGCATCCTGTCTAGTTGGTGCTTGTACCAGTTGTGACATAAAGGTGTCATTTAACACATTCAAAAACCTGATTCCCCTTGCTGAAGTACTAGTCCCTCTTTCCCAATTTATGTCTGGATAATTAAAATCTCCAATAATTAACGTGTTACCTCGATTTGCAGCTTTCTCAATTTGCTCTAACAGCTGTTCTTCCTCATTAATATTTACATTAGGTGGTTTATAACATATCCCAACCAATAATTGATTTCCCTTTGTTTTCCCCAAGCAGATATCTACCCATAAAGCCTCCACCTTTTCCTCGTCACACTCCACATGCCTAAGATTTGACTTTAACTCACGGTTGACATATAAACATACCCCACCACCCTTCTTGTTTTTCCTATCCTTCCTAAATAACGTATACCCATTTAAATTAACTGCCCAGTCATGTGTCTCATCCCACCATGTTTCTGTTATGCCTATTATATCATATTGTTTAGTGTATGCTATTGCCTCTAGTTCCCCCATTTTGTTATATAGGCTCCTTGCATTAGTAAGCATACATTTAATATTATCTTGAGTCTTTTGTACTTTTTGTGAATTATCAATATTACATACCTCCTCTGTTCTGAGTTTTCCCCTCCCCCCATCTCCACCCCCTTTGTTCTGAGCTAAAGCCCATCTCTTTTCCATCATATCTCCATTTTCTAGATTGCTTTGACCCTCCCCCCCTACCACTAGTTTAAAATCTCCTCCAACCTTCTAGCCATCCTATCCCCCAGCACAGCAGACCCTCTTCCGTTTAGGTGCAATCCATCATGACTATACAGGTTGTACCCAAGCGCAAAATCGGCCCAGTGCTCTAAAAACCCAAAACCCTCTTTCCTGCACCAAGACTTTAGCCACGCATTGACCTCTCTAATCTCCCGCTGCCTTTCTGCTGTAGCGCGCGGCACAGGTAATATTTCTGAAAAAATTACCTTGGAGGTCCTTTTCTTAAGCTTACTTCCTAGTTCCCTGAACTCATTCTTTAGGACCTTCCATTTTCCTCTGACTTTGTCATTGGTACCAATATGGACCATGACAGCTGGGTCATCTCCAGCCCCTCCCAATAATCCCTCCACTCTGTCGGCAACATGCCGGACCCGAGCACCCGGGAGACAGCAAACTGTCCGGTTGAGTCGATCAGAGTGGCAGATTACCCTATCTACTCTCTTAATAATAGAGTCCCCTACCACCACAACCTGTCTAGCCTTCCTTACCCTCTCAACCCCACCCGTACTAGAGGGGCTGTTTCCACGGCTGTTAGCAGGAACAGCTTCCTGCAGTACAGCTACTCCTGAGCTGATGCTCCCAACATCTTCACTCAAACGGGCAAATCTGTTAGGCTGCATGAGATCAGGACTAGCTAAACCTTTTCTCTTCCCTCCCCCCTGCTTCCTCTCCCCACTGTCACCCAGCTACGTGCCTGTTCCCCATCTGTCTTATCTCCTCCCTCTCCACTACCTGTCCCCACTAAACTCTGCTCAGTGAGCAGCAGACTCCTCTCAAGATTGTCAATCTCCCTCAGTGTTACAATTTGCCTCTCCAGATCTCTAATCTGAGCTTCCAGAAATGCCACTCGCTCACACCCACCACAGAGGTATGGACCCTGGACAGAATCATCCAGGCATGCATACATGCGGCATGATGTGCACTGAGTTAAATTTGCAATCTTGCTAGCACTCATCCCCAGTAACAAAAAACACAAGTGAGAAAAAAAAAAAAAATAAAAAAATTTTAACCCTCTTGGTTTCAACTCCTGTTTTAACTCCTACTTAAAAGAGACTACTTAAAAGCAAACTCCAGTGAGCAAGCTCTGTGAGTCAGTAGTGGGTTTATATTTGCAATACAAATCCCACACAGGTGGAAATTAAGGGGCACTCCCCCTAATTAGCTCAGCAGCAGCAGCACCCACAAGGAGGGGAATAGAAACAACAAGAGAGGGGGGGAAAAAAAAAAGAGGGAAAAAGTTTTAAATAATACCAGCAAGGTGAAAATATATAAGAGAAAAAAAAAAGGAACAAAGTTTAAATATATCCAAAGAGAAAAAATATATATGAAAAGGGGAAAAAAGTTACAAAATATTAAAATAAATCAAAACAGTAAGGAGAAATAATTTTTTTTATTTTTAAAAAGGGTAAAAGTAAAAACAAAACAAAAAAAAAACACAAAATACAAACAAAACAAAACCCAAAAAGAGAGAAAAAAAAAACAAACAAACAAATACTAACATTTAAACCTGCTTTTCTTTTCCACTTGGTATTAACTAATACCAACCACAGTCCACCAACAAACTCCTGTTGTTTTAACTCCTACTTAAAAGAGACTACTTGAAATAGCCTACTTTCAAGCAAACTCCAGTGAGCAAGCTCTGTGAGTCAGTAGTGGGTTTATATTTGCAATACAAATCCCACACAGGTGGAAATTAAGGGGCACTCCCCCTAATTTGCTCAGCAGCAGCAGTGGTACCCCCTCACCCTTAGTTTTGCTTTTCCCTTCCCCCGTCAATTAGTGTTCATTTCCTTTCCATCCCCTATCCTTTAGTGTGTGTCCCATCCCTAAGTGTTCCCCTCTCTCTCTCCCCCACCTTAGTGGTCCACTCTGTTCCCTCCATGCTGTGCCTCCTACCTCTCTTGTAGCGTGGCCAGTGGAGCTGGGTGAGCTTCAGTTTCCTGTACCCGGTGAGCATCCTGTCAGTCCGGCTCATATACCTCGGCAGTGGTGTATTTAGGATTTGTGCTGCCCTAGGCAGGACGGTGCTCGGGCACCCCGCCCCTAATTTAAAGTTTCCCCACCCCTTTAAATTTTCACTCACTCACTGACAGGCGCACACACTCACTGATAGATGCATACACTCATTGACAGACACACACTCTCATATACACTGACAAACAATGACATACACACACTCACTGATTTGACACACTGATAGACAGACATACACTTACTCGGACACACACTCACTGACAGACGCACGCACTCACTGACAGAGGCACACACTCACTGACCGACACACACAGACTGACCAACACACATATTCACTGACAGACACACACTCACTGACACACACACTCACTGACAGACACACACTCACTCAAATTCACTGACACACTCACATTCAGACACACACTCACATTCACTGACACACACACACTCACATTCACTAACACACACACTCACATTCACTAACACACACTCACATTCACTAACACACACTCACTCACATTCACTAACACACACACACACACACACATTCACTAACACACACTCACTCACTCACTCAGTCACATTCACTGACACACACATTTCCCCACACTCACAATTATTATTTATATTATTTTTTATTTTTTTTAAATTTTTAAAAGGGAAAAGGGGATATAGATGAAGGGGTTAAACCCCAAGAAAACCACCCACAGCATCCCCCCTAAAAAACACTCACTTAGGTAAGGTCTGTCCCTATAGTACCTTGGCACCGTGGACAAGCCAGTAATGCCTACCTGAACCACTCTCCCTTCCTCAATAAAAAAGTATAAATGAAACTTAACTAACTAAAGCTAGTGCATAATGCTACCAAGTGTAGTGTGAAAATAAAAAAAACGAATAGCTCGACAAGCGTTTTGGCGTGTCAGCACGCCGTCGTCAGGAGCAGTGACTTATATATGACTTGGAATTGCTGTCCTTTTGCCTTAATGTTGCGAATCAGATTTTATTCCACTAAATTTCACAATTTAGTGTATAAACCCCATCTGCTAGCATAAATCACAGTTTATACCCGTGATGTAACATGAAAATGTTCTAAAAGTGATGATTATTTATTCATGTCTTTCTGTAGCGTTAATTCTTACACTATTATATATTTTACATATTTCTTTGATGACAAAAACATTAAAAAAAAACACTCATCCTTTAGATGATTCGATTAATGTTTAAAATTTAAAAAATCATTACCCAGCATTAGTGAGGACGTCATCAAAAATTAGATTCATAGGTATAAATACCAAAGTATCTCAACTGACATTATCCATTGCATGTTAATGAGAAATTCTAAGCTACGTGCAATATACTAACCACAAAGTAATCTCTCGAAGTATCATTTAAAAATACCCCTTGACTAAGCACGTTGGGTTATGTAGGCACTAGACATGTTTTTCAATCCCTGATTCTTTTGTTTGGGATACTGAAAGGTCTGTTATAAGAAAGATAAATCTTATATAGATGAGGCTGCATCTTCCACAAAGCAGGGTCAAAGTCCTGGAGCCCCTCGGACGGGCTATTTATTCTGTTTGAATAAAATTCCAACAGACAAAGCACAGAATGTTCGGTGCTCAAAAATTGGTAAGCCCTCGGGTCAAGGGAAACTACGTTAAATGCTCGAAAGAAAATGTATTTCATGGAGCGAAACCGCTACTTAAGCAATAATGCGGATAAGATTTATATTTCAAACTTTTATATGCGACATAATCCTCTTGTTCCCCAAAAATAAGAAAGCCTACTATCTTATGAGATTAACCCATTAGTTCACAATGAGGGTAGCACAGCTGTGCCACATGTCCCTTGGCAAAGAGCTATTTAGCAGATATTCATACATGTCATACTACGATAATGCAATGGGGAAGAGGAATACATATAACAGAAGCATTAATCAATCATCAACCTTTGGCATTACAATTGTTATACCCCTTTGTTACTCCACCATCACATTCATATTTAGAAGGGTCAATTCAGTCAACACTAATTTGCGGTTAGTTAATAAACATTTTACAACATTTAAGACAACTTTGCTGAGCTATAAACTATCCTGATATTTCCTTACAACCTGATTGTGCTAAATTTTGCACAGTCTGTTGACGACTCACTATATCCCACTGTATTGCTGAGGTTTTTTTTTATTTTTTTTTTGTTTCTAACTTGGCTATTTAAGATTTAATTGTAGTTGTCAGTTCCCTTACTTGTAGTGGATAAACCCTACACAGTCTTATTAACTCAATGAACGTAAAGAATAATATTGTCAAAATACCATACCATAGTTGTGTGGAGGATGGAACAATTCCAGCCAATCCGAACTCTCTAATGAGAATTTAAAACATGGAAAAGGATTTAAATGGTGGTCTTTTCCTACTATGAAGCCTCATGCTGTGCAGAGCCCTTGTGGGACCAAGAGGAATTTATTTTTAGTGTTAAATTTAGTGTTGCTTTTTTTTTTTCTGTCAGATTTTTTTGAAAATCTGTTGTTTTTTTTTTTGCTTTTTCTACAGTTGTGTCATGCATTATTAACATAAGAACATATGAAGAGTTACAAGAAGGAAATCTTATGGTGGTGATATAGTTACTTAATTTACAGATATTAGTTTAATGCCCTCCTCACCAGGGCCGGATTAACATAGGGGCTGAGGGAGCTGCAGCTCCAGGCCCATACCTACAGAATAGGCCCATTGTTTTAAATATATATATATATATATATGTAGGTGAAATAAATTGGTGTGGACTGGCTTACAATAAAATTAGTTAAGGTAAAGCTGACTTTGCGCACTATGCAAATACTCTTGCTGCTGCAGTCTCTCTAACACTGTGGCATGTTCCCTTTCTTCTACACTCACTACATCCACCTTTTCTCTGTCCCAGACTGTATAACATTAGCTTCTGCCTGTTAGTAAGAAGGTTAGGAGAGGAGTGGACCAGCGAGTGGCAGAGGACAGTCCTTAGACAACGTAGAGCTAGCGCATCATTAGACACATTTATGCCAAGCTCAGGGTGTTGTCTGCACAGTATGAACTTGGTTGGTCATCCTGCATGATTGGCAGGCAGCCTGATGTGCATTCATGTCAAGCTGACCATCTAAATCTTTGTGCAGACACGCCCCCTTTTTGGGCATGTTTGTCCCTTTTGGTGGTTCTGGTTACATGATTCACATCAGTGGCACACCCTTTTACCCTGCCCACCAAAATCCTGCTTCACCGGACACTGCTGTTAGGGGGTATGGATTTTCTTGAAAGATGAAAGTGAGAGATAAGCAAAGAGTATGTGTTTTCTGATAGTTATATGCTGTGAGTTTTCCACCTGCAGCATCCACCAGAAACATGACTCTGGGAGGTATAACTGTTTTATTTTTTTCTGTCGAAAAGATTCTGCAATTAGGCCCATCATAATTGTCAGCACCAGGCCCAATGGGCTTGTAATTCGGCCCTGCTCCTCACTATTACTAGGGTGGAGGGTAAGTAGGGTTAATTTGATTAAAGGGGGTGGCTAGGGACTTGGGGACCCCCAGCCACCTGGGGTGTGGTGCATGCCACCAATTGGGGGGAGGGGCAATGCATGTCCACCTTCTTGTGTAATTATTTACAGCCCACACCTGCCACCAGTGAGTGGGTGCTCTGAGAGGGGACACTAGGTGTCCTCCTGAATATAATTAGTAAAGTCCCAATTTTCTGTCAGTGGTTGGAGTGGGGATATTAGGTCCCCCTCCTTGAATATAATAAAAGCCCCCATCTGCCGCCAATGGTTGGGGACTGAAGTATGGACCTTATGTCTCCCCTTTTACAATATAATAGTCCCCTCCTGCTGCCAATGGGTGGGAGTTGGGGTTGGGGACATTATGTCGCCCAGTTAAATTATTATTGAACCCCACATGCCGTTATTTGATTTCGGCTTTGGTGAGGATGCTATGTCTCCCCGGTATAAAAGTAGTAGCCCCTACCTGCTGGCCACATGTTTTGGTGGGGGTTACATTAGGATGTCTCCTCCATTTTTTATACTTTAATCGCTCTCACAACCCATTTTTTTATTTAAAATCCCACATCCGATGCCCACAGGTGGTGATATAAGAGGGACTTTTGTTGAGCCTTTTCTAGTGACTGGGCAGCAGTGGTTGCTAAGTCATTAGCTTTAAATGTTTAGTAGTTATGCCCCCACCAGCCACATGTTAAATAGTAGATCCCCAGCTTGCATAGCTTCTTGGGTTTTGTATGGCAGATAAGGATATACCCTTTGGCCGTCCTTGTGCATACCGGTATATATGTTTTATATTTTAAAGGTTTGTCCAAAAATATGAAATACTTTGAAAAGCTTATCCAAGAATATTAAATTGAGACCATAGAGATTTATCCTAATTGTAACATTATCAGAAACATCTGTGGAAAGTGAGATGTATCACCCCACCAGCAGTCTATCTGCTTTTGTCTACGAGCACAATTAAATAATTCTGTTATTTTATGAGCTATTTGTGTTACAGGAAACACCCTCGTTGAAGCTAGAAGGTGAGGAAGTGTTATCCACCGCTTCCTAGAACTACATAACACATAACATTAACCCGTGGAAACAGAGTTTACAGTGAGGAACCAAGCTAAGACTAATTTGGGTGGTATTCCCATTTGACCACTGTGCTTTCTTGTATACTTCGACAAGCTGGGCTTATACATCTCTATTTGTGATCAT